GCAGGAATGTTCATAAGTTATTTCTTTGAAGCGCCTCACAGAGGTTTTGATTGGCATCTGGTTCCTCAGTCATCACCTCCACGGCCTCCCACTCCCCTGACCTGCTGGATTTCTTGATGGCCTCTACTACACTCTGCATGTACAGACCATCTTCAAAAGAGGCTGCCATAGAGACAGGTTTATGATCCCACGTCCGACGGTCTTCCTGGTCTTGGAAAGACTGCCGCAGCGCTTGCACCATGTACACCATTCCTTTTAGGTAAAGCAGCGGGATGTCTTTAAACCCCTTATCCAAAAGGCCCTTGCTGACAGTCAGAGAGTCTGTAAACAGTAGTTCTTCTTGGAGCGCGGTGTTTTTCTGCCCATACAAGTCCGACCCGCGAGCTATGAGGCGACCGGTAGACCCAACAATCATGACTTCATGGATGAACGATCCAGGCATGTTGAAGTTGAGAGTCACAGTGCAACAGACACCCTCGCTCATTAGCATCTGGAAAAAGCAGAAGTCATCGCTAGTGACGTGGCGGATCCCGCTTATAGCCGTGTTCTGCTTCACAAAAGTCTTGAGCAAACCATGGACCTTCTCTGCTCTCCTGCTGATGAGGTGAGTTAGGAGGTCGATAATGTAGGTTCCCATTGTATGCAGACCACCTCCTCCCATCAGCTCATCACAGATCCAGTTGTACTTGTGGCTGAGCAGGCTTCCCCCGTAAACTCGTACGTCGCAGATCATCACGTTGCCCACGTAGTGTTCTTCTATCAGCTGCTTCATCTTCACAAAGGCGGGCAAGAAGCGGAGAACGTTGCCAACAATGCTCATCAGCTTGGGGTAATACCTGGCAGCTGTGACCATCCTGAAGGCATCCACAGAGGTAGCAGCTTTCTCACAAATCACGTTCTTCCCTATTCCTGCAGCCCAAATGAAAAAAAAAAAAAATATATATAGCGCGCACAGATGAGCGAAACATGCTCAGATGCCCCAAAGGCTGTCAAGAAATGGTGTTTTTAAAGAGTCAGGCATTGCTGCTGCAATTTCAAAGGCAAAGGTCTGGGAACTAAAATAGGAATGCCAAGTGCAGCAAGACTCAAAGCTGCTTCCAAGATGCTCCGGTTGCAGAGCTGACAAACTCCCACAGAGAGAGGCTCCAAATAAAGAGAGGATTTTTACATCATGAAAGATAAATGGCCAAATGGCATCATGTGGCATCAAAACAAGATGCAATTTGCGTGTTGCAGCTATAAAATTATTCGAACATCTGTACAGCCAGAGGGGAAAAAACTGTCACGCACCCTGCAGGAAAGAGGTGAGTGAAAGGGAGATTAGATTTTCACTTTGTATTTCATCATCACTATGAATTTATTGTTTTAAATAGATTAATAGAAATGGGACATACAAGATACTTAGTGGCCTGTGTACAGAATACAAGAATTAGAAACAATGTAAGTGGATTGTTTTAAAAACATCACTAATTGGAAAGTAAAACAGTTCAGTCTGCACGTCCAGCCTACTCGTACGATTGGACTGCAAAGGTGACTGTGTGAGTTACACAGATGAGAGCTGCACTCGCGAGCTGACCCACTGCGTTTTTATTCCTACTCATGCGCTTTATCTTGTGCCCAGCCTGAATCAGTGTGGGCAGTCAATAATTCTTTTTTTGTTTTGTTTTGTTTTTTTAATTTTAAAGCAGAAATAAAGTAAGACAAAAGAGGATCCCAGTGCAAGCTTCAAGCAAATTCCTACATTCGGTGCTCTGCTGGTATTCCCTCTTCCTCCCCCACCTTCAACCTTTTCTCATGACATGGCTTTACTTTTCCATATACATCTGTTCTGATAAAATACTTATCTAAACATTTTTCAGTGTAACAACCAGGGATATACCTAGAAGTCTCCAGACGTTAACTGGTGATGTCAGACCTGAGGGTCAGTTACGTCATACCACAGTTTCTGCCTAAGAATTGCAGGAATCGCTGCACGTGGTGGTAGGCGCCTCTCTGAAAGCTTCCCCTCACCCAGGAGCAGACTGCGCTCCCCGCTCAGAACAGCTTTTAATCGACTCCCCGACGAGAAGATACCAGCACAAGTGCTTCAGTCGGTCTCTTGCACACGAGGGGAAGCCAGATCCCACACTGCAGCTCCTGCTCTCAGCACTCCACCTCCCGGCTGCGCTGAGCAAGCCTTTCAAGAACCGTCCGGGCGGTTCAGGGGCCAGTGAGCTCCCGTGGCACATCACCGTGCCCAACTCAGCCAGGGGACAACTACAGCTAAAGAAAACTCTGACCCTGTATTTCTAATAGACACAAACAAAATGCAGTCGGAAAACAAGACTACAATTTTTAGTAGTCTCTTCTAAAGAAATCCCCTCAATAGACGTGAGTCAACAGAAGCTTTTAATGAACAAAGGGTAAGGTCAAACTCCCTGGAGACACCCTGGCTGCCCACTGGTAACCCCTTATTTCAGGGACCGTTTCCGACTCTCCCACCCCCGATCCTGCTGCTGTGACGAGGCACAACGCTCTGTTTGATATTCCGCAGGGCTAGCTGAAGCATCTTGAGACGCTTCAGCGCCTGGTTTACCTGCCTTCTTGTTTAAATGGCACTTACCTCAAGGCAGGTTGCAGTAAAATACAAGCACAAAGAAAAAGTAAAAGGATCTTCACAGCATCCTAAAGCAGACTGCAGTTCTCAAAGTTCGCAGAAAATAAAAGCAACTCTCGATCCACCCACACACATGGTACAGCTCTGCAGTCGGCGCTCTCCCCCTTGCACAACCCCACCACCCTTCACCATATATTTGGCGGTACAGGAGCCGGCTCAGGGTACAAACCCAACATGGAAATATTCACTCATCTTGGCTCTTTTTCTAGCGGGTTACTGCCCCGAGTTGGCTCTCCATGGAGCCTGACAGTGTCCACGCAAAAGGGGCTGGGTCCCTGCAGTGGGAGATGGA